CCCCAAAACCCCAAAACCCCAAAACCCCAAAACCCCTTATCTAATATTTCACTTTGAATAATTATTTAAATTATATGTATTCTTCTAAAATGGAAATTTCATCATTTTGGGAGCACTTAATCTGAAGCTCTCAATCACTATCAATGCTCTCATCCAGACTTGTTTGAATAAAAATATTTAAATGCTTGTCATTCAACAGAGGAGTCTGAGTGTTCATCAAGAAGGTCTCCCTTCTATTCACACAAGAGTCTATCTCTTGAAGAGATATTTTAGGCTCTAGTGATCTTCTGCTATTGGAGTTACTATAAAAGTGAGTCTACACACTTACTGATTATTGTATCTATCTGCTGGCTTATTTAGAAGCCAGAGTATGGATATAGCTGAATTTAGAATCATTAAGCGGAACTATGTTTTCCTTCTTCTTTACTTTATTCTTTTTATTCTTATACTTAGTTATATTCTTAATGTTCTGAGCAATAAAATTCTTTTCCTTATTTCTGTTTTTTAATGTGCCCGAGATTACTAAAAGTTAGACACTGAGCTTACATTGGCTTATCAATAAGATTTCTGAGAGAAGCGAGACTGTTAAAGGTGCGTTTCTCTTCCATTGTTTGGTGAATATTATCAGCTGAACTCTTCGTAGTGTTCCAATTAGTATTATTACGAGGATCATAGAAATCATGTTCTAAGAATGAACTAGTTTGGATTTTCTTTTCAGTCTTTTCTGTTTCAAAATTAAGATTTTTGGGAGTCATCTCTACTAGCTTTTTGCTGTATTTTGGTCCTTCTTTGATGAGCTTTTTGAAGTACTCGCTTTCGATGATCTCGAAAGGCTCAGCATGAACTTCATCTCATTCACCATTTTTCTTAGAACTTCTTCGGATGTAAGGAGCCTGAGTTCCATTGTCAGGCTCAAGGTCGATCATCTCTTGCATCTTCTGAACATCTTTAGAAGTGAGATAATCTCTGTGATCTCTTTTAGCAGTTTTAACCTTCTCAGGTTTACAAATTATCTTCTCTTTCGGAGGTGATACAGGTGCTGAGTAGTGTTTCTCTGAGGAGTGATGACTTCTAAATTCTGCTGTTGAAAGCTGCTGAGTAGCCTTTCCTAAATTTCCAAAGTCTCCTAACACAATTTGGCAATTTGTTGGAGTAGCTCTCTCAGAATCGGGCTTTACCTTTACATTACTTGATTTTTCACTAATAGATAATTTACTGAATTTCTAAAATTTATTGCAAATAGTTACTTGTAAATGATTATTAGAACAGTAACTTGAGTTTTCAGAATTTAATTTGTTTGAAGCAGAATCAGCAAAAGAGTTATTCTTGCTAACTTTGGCTGGCTTATTTCTCCCTCTCTCGCTGTGACAGCTAATACTACTATTTATTTCTTGTTTCTCAAGGATTTTGTTAATCACTCTTTTGTTGTCAAACGGCCTCATTCGTGTCTCAAATACAGCAGGATCAGTCTCTTGGATTTTCAGAGGAAGTTGACAGCCAGAAGCTTCACTATTTTTCAAAGTAATTCTCGAGTTGATAGAATCATTATCATCCTCAGATCAGAACTCTTTTAGTCTCTTGAGAAACTCCAAGGCATACCGCCTTCTCGTCTTATCAAATAACGCATGGATCATCCTAAGTGAACTTCTTCTAAGAGTGTTCTAAAACATAAGGCTTGAAAATACCTCAAAATGCTGGTTTTTATTCTGAAGATCTGAAATATGCTGAGTCATGAGATCACTTTTAGATCAAAAACTTTTCTCTGCTCGTTGTAATTTTTGCTCTCACTCTTGTTTAAGTGACAAAAATTCTTTCTGCTTTCTTTCTTCAATTTGCTTTATTTTATGAATTGAGCAGAATTGAAGAGACTTGAAATTTAGAAAGGCCTCTTTAAGATTCCGCTTTTCTAATGATTCACAGACTTTCACAAACTTTGTCAGCTGGGTATTTATATTCTGAAAATAAATTATTTGGCACTTACAGAGTTTTTCAAAAGCAAGTAGAGGTTGTACCTTCCTACCTTGTGAGGATCTAGATCTTGCATAGGGCTATGCTCATCTTTGAAATAATTTGAAGCAAAACTATTCCTGAAAGATGTTGCAATCTTCTTTTCAAGACAATATGTTTTTATCTCATTGAAACTATTGATCACTAACTTTTTCTGGATTTGTTTGAATACCAAGCTAAAGGCATGACTTGCACCTTTTAGTATGCTAAGTCTTGCATTAACTTGCCTTTGCTCGACTTCATGGTTCTTCTGTTTATTGCAATAATCCTTTAAATAGGCAAAGAACTCTTTTTGTAACCTACAATCCACATCAGTTTTTAATCTATTGAGCTTTTGAATAAATTCTCTTGGCCATTGATTCTCTTGCTGATGAATAGAAGAATTTAAGGGATTTGGCGAATTTATATTTACTGAAGGCTCGCTCTCTTTCATCTTCGTATTAGAAAGACTTTGTATAGGAGCAATTGCTGTATGGAAGCTGTCCTTTTCACTAAATTTCTTCATTGAATGGATAATACTATCATTGCCAAGTAAAAGTTCTGAATTTCTAGAACCATTCCTTTCAAAATCAGGACTGTATACCATAGGTGAAGGATCTATGCCGCCTTTACTATCTTTCTCACTCTCTTTATTTTTGAAAGGAGATACTTGTGATGTTGTATTGCTTATCTCCGCTTTCCTGAATATGCTTGACCTCGCTTCCTTTCTCTGAAAAGGAATGCTCTAGATAGATTAAGGGCTAAAAACTCACCTTCATTGATGATTGTGGTCTGAGGGCATCCGAATAGTGAACCATCTTGTTTTACCAGCTCTTTATCATCATTGATGGTACTGAAAGTCTCATTTGAAACCTCCTCAATAGCTTGAATCTCTTCATCTCAGGAGATCTCAAATGGATTCGGAATATAGGTCAGATCTTGCTGTGGCTCTTCCTTAGTCTCTTCGAATTGTAGAGTTTTTGTGATATTATCAAGCTCAACCTTAGGCTTCATCCTCTTATGTTCTCTATTTATGCTTTCTCCTTTGCTCAGTGATTGACTCTTGCTCTATTCCTTCTTCTGTGGGATAATTAGTGTCAAGAGTTCCTGATTCAGGCTTTTTAATAGCGAATTTTTCCTCTTCATTGTTCTCATTTTTCTTTCTACATAGTGAAACAAGATTAAATAAGTTTGATTTTGGAGCTTCTGTTTCCTCTATCTCTGGAGTATCTTCTTCACTGAGTTTTTTATTTTCATCTTGGCAATCAAGGTCAAGCTCTGGGACTAGCTCCATTTTCTGAATGGGCTCATTCGGTGCTTCTCCAAAAGAGTCAACCAACTGCTTCTTGCTGGAATTGTTAGCCTGATCATCAATTCTCTTTTGGTTATGCTTAAGGGTTGGAGAATTCTTCATCTGTGAGAGGAGTCTCTCGAAATGCTCTATTTTATCAGTAAATGTCTTCTCAGAGCTACTTAAGGAGTGGCTCTTGGCTCGCTTTGCATCTTTCTGCTGATGAAGGTTTTGAAGGGACTGAATCCTACTCTTAACATTATTAAACCTGTTTCGGTTTTGGTTATCTCTCAATGAGCCACAAGACTCACTCTTCAAAATATCTCTGATCATACTGTATCCATTACTTTTAGAGCAGAAGCTTTCAGAGTTTCTGACGCTTTCATCCTCTATGGCTGATTCCAGGATTGATTTCCATCTTTCTTTCGTGTTAACATTCCTAAAAACTGATGGATTCCTGATGCATTCTTTCAGGAATGGTTTCTCAATACCTGAAATCAAGGATGATGACAGGTATGAAGAAATTGGAGAGCACTGCACGTTGAGTGATTGTGAAATATAGTAAATCACACAGTATTTTTGGCAAATCCCTTCTCCCAATTTGCATTCATACAGTTTCTCTTTCTCAGTAATTTTAAAAGATTTTCAAGTGAAATCTGTAGTTTTAGTGAGACAAGTTGTTGGTATTGGTGAAACACTATTTCGAGGCTTTAGTAAGTTGTTTATTTGTGAACTTCATCCTAGAATGATTAGATTAAACTGAAAAATACTTTTATGCTCTTCTTTTGTACCTCCCTATTTAAATGAAAAGGAAAAATTACCTCTGATTGTGCTGCATTAATATTTAGACACTGCTCTATATGATTTCTTTCACTAGAAATTGTTCCTCGAGAATCTAAATATCACAAACAAACTATACTATTTAAGGCACTGGCTTGTCTTCCATGTGCTGGATGAATAGGTGGCTTTGCTTTCACTGGCTTCCAAATATACAGTCTGTTCCGAGACAAAGAAATGATGTGGTCTTTGGTTACAGCTAGGCTCTCAATCCTGTCATCTCTGACCTTACTCTTTTTACAACTGTCTGAATGAATTTTTGTAATTTTATATTCATGATCAATGTAAAGCAATTCTCCAGTTTGGGTCAATATTGTGATAAATTTAGGCGTTCAGATGAAAGTCCTAATGAAATAGTTCGAAATTCCTTGAATTTGATGAAACACTTCTAAATCTGACCCATCATTAGTATTGTTCTTAGACTTAATGTTTCCCATAACATAGAGATACCCTCCTGATGTTTTGAAAGCTGTGTAACCTCTAGAAACTTGGGCTTCCTTGACCTCAGCAGCTTTGTAAATTTCAACTATGACCGGCTTTCTGATAAATTTAGGCCCTTTAAGTCCACACTGATAGCTCGTATTCTTTCCCCAAGTAAATAACTTCCCAGAAGACTCTGTTGCACAAGCATGGGTCTGACAAATATCATAATTTTTAACTTTATAATCCAAAAGAGTCTGTATTGGCTCAGGGCTGTCTAGGTGATAAACTTTTCCTTGCCCAAGAACGCCTGTTTTAGAAGGATCATTTCCTCAAGAGAAGAGAGTTCCTTCCTCTGTCAGGAAGAGCATTCATTTTTCAGAACATTTCAGATTCTTTATTTTGATATTCCCAGTGCATACTATTTCTGTAGGTATAGATTGAGAAAGCAGAGGCAATAGGTCTTTTTCCTCTTCCTCATGAATTTCAGAAAGATCTTCAATGGTTGGATAGGATCTTCTATTCTTACTGTTTGCCAAGCCTGAAGACATTGCATTTAGCTTAGGAAAAGCAGTTCAGGATTTGCTCAAAGGGTTTTTGCACATGCTAAGGTACTTTTGCAAGCTATAGACATAAGGGTTTAGTAATTCAAAAAATTTGAATAAGAGCAAGAAAGACTGGGGATAAACATTTTTAATTGTGGAAATTATGTAAAATACCTTTTTTTTCTCTTCTTAAGTGACTTCCTTAAGCCTAAACATTATATAGGAAATATACCTGTGACAGCTTCATTGTAACCGCTATCCTTGTTAAATGATTTAAAGTTTAGTATGCTTTCTCCCCAAGAAAAGATCTTGTTTCTATTGTTAATAAAGTATGCAGAGGATGTATTCAGAATGAACTGCTTCATTTTGTGACTAGTCTTCTCCATTGTAAAACAACTCTGGTCGTCCTATATTGATAAAAATTGGCTAGCTTACCTCGTTGAGAGCTTTTTGACATAATTCTTCTGGGTTAAAGAGAAGGAACCCTGATTTCATAATTTAAATTTAAATTTTCAATAAAGTTCGTTAAAAATGGGGTTTTGGGGTTTTGGGGTTTTGGGGTTTTGGGG